CTTCAGCGCTCGCGCGCGCTTCGCGCGGGCTTCGGACGCGCGCTTCGCGCGTGCGCGCGGGCTTCGCGCACGCGCTTCGCACGCGTGCTTCGCGCGCTTCGCGCGGGCTTGGCGCGTCCCCAGGGCGGATCATTCTGACACGATGCGTCCCGAAATCTCGGATATTCCCAGAGGACGCAGCTGCCGAGGCATCGTAGGCGTCGCCACCTTCGGAAGTAAACTCAACCATGTATCTTTCCACACCTGTGGAATCTGCCTGCAGTGCTCCGCAAGAAGTGGGTGAGCCAGGGCGAAACCACATCTGAACAGGCAATTCATACAGAGGTGTGAGCAAGGTGAGAGGGCGCCGCCTTGTGTGGCGAGAGGTGCTGAAGTGCCTGAGAGATGGTATCAAGAGGAAGACAGGAAAAGGGGTACTCCATCTGTCTGAAGTACCGACGAGCTGAGCCTGGGAGTCAGGAGCTTCCGTATTGTAGAGGTCCTTATAGAAGCTGTGCAACACTTCTACCTGCTCCTTATGGGAAAGAAGTCCCCCATCAGCACTTCGAAGCTGCAACTTGCGTCGTTTCTGCTTAGGCCCAAAGCGTGCAGCAAGTTGAAAAAGAGCCCGAGTGTCACCTTTGCGAGCTGAGGCTTCCATGACTTCAACTTGATTCCTGAACCAGGCAGTTTTCGCTTGCCTGGTGCTGCGCCGGAAGGCTCGATGAGCCTTGCAGAACTTGCTGTAAGCTGCCCACGCTCTCCAAATGTGTTTAGAGCAAGCTTTGGCATGGAGCGCCAGGCGCGATACGCAGCCCACATGGTGCGAACTGTCACACCAACCTGTTCACTTTGCCACGGCACGATTCGTCCATGCTGAAACTTACCAGGGAAAAGATCAAGAGCCGCACTATGAAGCTCCGCATTCACTTCCTCGACAGTAGCATCCTGATGATCATGCAGCCACGCACCAACTCTGTCCCTAAGGGCGCAGATTCGATGATCCGTATCATCTCTACAGGCCTTGGCAAGAGAGACCTTGTCAAGGATCCGCAATCGTTGACCTTGGCGCTTGAAGAGTGCCGAAACAGGTGGAACCTGAATGCTAGCACAAACGGGAAGGTGATGTCCCCCCATTCTCCATTTAAAGAGCTGCCAGGAGATAGGACCAGCACGACGTGAGACAGAGTCCCCGAGGGAGTGACGCACAAAGATGTGATCAATCAAGGACGCATGATCACCATTACGAAAAGTGTGCTTTGCAGAGCGAGTCCACGAATTCAGATGAAGAAGATCACAGTCATGAATGAGGTCCATGAGCTCACCCTGATCGGCAGGGGGAGTGGTCGAAAGAAGATCAGCACGGGCACCCACACGAGTATTGGTGGTCTTCACAGGGGTATATCACCCGCAACAACCACAACGTGACGAAGTGGGAGAGCACGCACAAGTTTGCGCAGTGCAGTCCAAACATCCCTACGTATACTCCGATTCGTAGTGCCGGGCGATTGTCCTTTCTCGGTGGACTGCAAGGAGGAGGTGGCGATCTTTTGATAAACCACGAGCAGGTAGAGACCTGGGCCGTGTGGCAGTAGCAAGTAAACAGCAGTGGCAGGAAAAGGGCCACAGTTTGCACTAGAAGGAATGCAACTGCAAGCTCTTGTACGCTCGAGAAGAGTCACGAGAGACACCGTCCTTGGAAACCACTGAGTCTGTTTGAGACTCATTGGGCTCAGGAATGAACCAAATGCCCTTGCATCGTGGGCGCTTAGCCGAAGCAAGGGGGCCCGTCATCAGTGTACAGGTACTCCTCAGGCAGGGCCGTCGACGAGAGGGTGGCCTTCACAGTAGATGTCCGGGCCGGAGGAGGCGGCTTGTCATAAGCCAGTTCGGAATCCAAGCAGTGACCAGGAGCTGCATCCAGATTGGAAGCCACGAGTGTAGCAGCATCCTCCACAGAAGAGCCTTCGACAGAAGGGACTCAATGAGATCACACCATATTCGATACCAACACTAGAGTGTCATTGGTAGGCACCTGACGATCAGCAGAGGCCTTCACGACCTTGCCCTGCTCCTTCCCACCACGAGCAGATGTGCCACCAGACCCATGCTTCTTCTTGGGAAACTTCTGAGCCGTCTTCGGGGTGCGAAATTTGCGATGAGGCGTCTTGGCGGAAGGATTGGCAGAAACAGTAGCAGGGTTAGCAGATTTCTGCTGCTGCTCCCTAGGAGGCGCCGGGTCGATGACTGATGTCGGGGTCGAGTCCACGGTGACAGGCGGCTGCAGAGGATACTTCTTGGGTCGTGGTAGTAGAAAGGGTTCGCCCTTCAGGGAAATTCCAGTAGCATCTTCTGCTTCACGAGGTCGGGTACAACGTCTCCGCCGGGGAAGCGGAGACCGGCCACGTGGATCCACGGGACAAGGAAGGGTAGGCCGAGAGAGAGAGCCCAGATCAAAGTCCGAGGAGATCGATGAGATCGATCGAGATAGCTTTCGACGCTTGCGAGAGCGCACAGCCTCGGCAGTGGAGGGTCCAGAGGAGTGTTTCGGCTCGGGAAGAAGTCGTCCATCCTCACTGATACGCCTATCAGAGTGTCCACCTGGTACATCCGGACGGGTAGGTGGAGTCATAGGTGGTCTCACTGTATCCACGGATTCATCATCTCCAGTGGCCTCCTTTGTAGCAGAGGCAGAGCGAACCAACGACTGCAGATAAGGCCTGACAAAGATAGTCATGGGAGGCGGCTCCTTTGTGCTCCATGTGACAAAATTGAAAAGAGCTCGTTCACGGGACGTCAGCTGATGAGAAGAGAAGTCAGGTGACTCATCCTCCGCAGCAGAAGAGGCTGTGGGGGCCGTGACCAGATCCTCCGTTGAATCAGAGGTCAGCTGGCGGTTCTGTTGCCCAGGGCGAGCACTCTGACGACGCTGTCGCTGAGCACGTCCCATGCAGCAAGGAGCAGCAGGCACTGCAGGCCAGGCCCCGGTCGCACTACCCGACCAAAACGGAAAAAGAGATGAGCTGACACAGGAGCCAGATGGCCGTACAGAGAGACCCAATCTGGAAGGTACACTGGCATGAGTGGCAACATACTGTGGCACAGGAATGCAGTCACTAGCAGCAAGACAGATGAAAGGCCGACCTAGGGCCACATCCAGATATACTGAGGTCCAGGCACAGTGACAGATCAAAGTTGAACGCAGGCAACTCATGGAGAGAGAGCACAGCAGCCTCAGGTCAGGGCTATGTACAGTGACGGAAGAGTAGAGCCTGGACTTGCGCAGGATGCAGCTCCAACAAGGCTTCTTTTTGCATCCACCCTTGGTGTCAGGATCGGGCCATTCTATCACCCAGCTACTGTGGCGGGGCAAGACGTAGGGTAAGGACAATGTTGACGATCCCATTGGCTTCCTGTGCCGGCTCCAAGATGTACGTGCCGGCGGTGGTGCCGATTCTGGAGCTGTGGCCATCGGTCGCGGTCGCGCTGGCGGCAAGAGATCCCGGCACCGTGCCAGCGAACACATCAGTCGGTGCGGCACGCCTGGGGCTCCGACTGCGAGCTGGCTCCTCTCGGGTGACCACCTCTGCAGCAGCCTCTGGTCGGGCAGCATCCTTCCAACCATGGAAGGTCTCGGCCAACAAAGCAGCATTTTCCAGCTCCATATCAGTTGGCATGCCTTGCTCCCAGGCGGGGATATCAGTGCGAGAGATGTCCTCTGACAGCATCTCCTGAGGGCAGAGTGGAAGCACGGTCGAGCAGGATTTGTGGATGACTTGAGCAAAGAGAGTCCTGTGAAGACGAAGTCAGTATCAGAGAGAGAGTCAGGAACATACCTGTAGTGCCACTGAGACAGTGACCTGGAAGATCTGGGCACAACAGGATGATGAATTGACCGCAAATTGGGCAGCATCATGCTCACACATATCGCACACACCTGCTGCACACGAAGTTTATGTTCACAGGACAGGACAAGTTTTTGACCTTATAGATCCATCAAGGCCCCAACGTGCTGAGCGAGAACAGACTAGGCAGTAGCATCTCCACGTGGCTCCCGAACAAGACGTATCTGGAGATTAATGAGGACAGAGCCAGAGTCTGGAATCGGGACCTCGACATAGTATGTGCAGCTCGGTGCAGGAGGCGTACCCTCGAGGCCTGCAGCAGATGTCGCCGATGTCGGTCCATGCGAGCTGGCTTCAGCTCCACCATGCCTCGAGCGTCTCGAAATTCTCGGTGGAGTGCGAGAGCGACGTCTGGCCGTAATGGGGCTCCCAGTAAGTGCAGTCTCACCAACAGGGGCGGCACGCGGCGTGGTGGGAGCACTCCTGGTCGGTTCCGGCGGCGGTGGCCCAAACACTTCCCCCAGCCTTGCACGTCGTACACGATTCTCCTGCTCCTCCAAGTACAGGCGTCGGTTGGGAGCGTCCAGTGTGGCCAAGTGCTCTCGCTCGATGTCAGCGGAGTTGAAGGCACCGGAGCTATCACTTTCACCTGACATGATTTGCCCACAGAGCACCAGGGGAGAGGATGAACGAGGCTAACTGAAGGGCAAAGAGCCAATGGACTGCTCAGAGCAGGATGCAGTGGAAGAGTCCGGGCTCCCAACACAAAAGTGCAGTGAGGCACGCACAGCAGGTGTGCTGAGACCCTAGCCTGTTGAACAGCCATAAGCGAAAGACCTGAGCATGATGGCATGCATCGCGAAGATAGGCAGTAAAATGAACTCCCTCTCATCAGCCGTTTCCGGACACATGCATCAGACATGGCATCATTTTCCGGGCGAGACTCAAGATGCCACAGACTGGATTGGGCCATCTGTACCATGCCAATCTGATATACCACTTGCACAGCTGTACTAGGGTGAGGCCGACTTGGACTTGGGAGTCGCTTGGCCGGTAGCTGATCCATCTGCACAGAGATAGTACAGCGCCAGGAGGGTTGGAACGGAGTCCTCGCTCACGGTGGCATAACATAGATATGAACTCCTTCAGCTGGGCTCTGCGAGCTCGCCATGTGACCAAGCCACGAGCTCGAGAGGTGAGCTGCTCCTGGCCTGAGGTGCTCTCCAGACACAAAGTCAAGGGCTGGCGATGGTACAGGTGGGCCGGTTGGCTGCGAAACCATGTGAGGTCGTACAGGACGTGGTCCCACAGTCCCAGGAATGGATGCAGCTTTTGCTGGCGGAGGCTCCGAAGCACCATGGTCCCCATGGATTGGCACAAGTGGTGGCGGGGGCAATGGAAAGCTTGACTTAGCCACAGTCGTAGGAATAATGGGCGCAGCTGCCTCCTCAACACCCCTCCTCGGCCTCAGACGAGGCCTCTTCATAAGCCGTGGTTGCCAACGGCGGTGGTAGCAGTCGAGGCCTGATAGTGGGTCCAGCCTCCGGGAAGCAAGGAACACGTGGAGACCCTGAAACCCAGCCGTGAATGCCCCTATGAAAGACAGTTGAGCCCAGACTGAGGTGACATGAGAGTGCCCTGGCAAGACCAGCTCGAGCTGCACAAGCAGGAATAGGCAGAAGGGGAACCCAAAAAGACTGCCTGAGCTCCCAGCTCAAGGGCTGCAGGCCACCAGTGATCAAGATGAGGGAGTCGGTCTGAGAGCACTGATCATTATATGACCCATCAGGGACTTGCAAGGAGCCAAGCCCGAGGCTCGGTAATGTTGTCCAGAGACTGCATAAGCAGGAAGCATCATAAGGCTGAGTGCACTGTATGAACCACTGGGCAGCAGGCGAGGACACCTCCAGCCTGGGCCAAGGAGTGGTCAACCAAGGACAGCAAGTGATCCATCTTTCAGGAAACCAGGCTCCAGGCGAGGACTCCTCGAGCCTAGGTACAGAGCAGCCAAGATCAACGACAGTAACTCCAGAGGCCACCACAGGATAGGCTCCAGGCCAGGACTCCTCTAGCCTGAGCAAAAGAGCACAGGGTGCAATGCCACTTGAGCAATGCTACAGCCACAGCCTGGCATCACCTGGATAAGGTATCACAAGCCTGAGCAAGGGGCAAGGAGCAGCCTCCAACACTAAGCCGGAAAAAGACCACTGTGAGGCATACCAAGAGCCAAGGTGCAAGCAGGGCTGTGGAGAACAACAGGAGGCAGCGCAAGCCAATATGGAAACTACGTTCGGTCTGATACAAGAAAGGAGTGCTGCAGCACAAGAATTGTGATGCCTGCTATGACCAAGGAAACCGGTGCACTCATAAGACCAGTTCTTCCACACTGCCGAAGGCAATACCAGTGGCACATGACAGCTACTGTTATAAGAAGAGCACCTAAGCCCAGACCCCTCAGTCCATGGTCTCCAGGTCCACGATCTTCCCAACCCGCTTCCTGTAGTAAAACAGGCAAAATGCCCAATCCAGTGCCCAGGAGTGCTAGAAGAGGCAAACTTAGCCTGCAGCGCAACAGGCTGTTGCTGCATCGCACGAGCTGAGGTAGAGTTGGATTGCACACGAAACATCTGCTTGGCAATCGGTTGAAGCGTCAGCCTATCAAGGCAGGAGGAACACCAAACGCGGCCTGTTATGCAACAATCTGAAACACTCCGTCCTGCAGGACTCGGGTCGCGACACACGGGCACAGCTGGTGTGCTTTGCCGCCAGTGGGTGCGGTTTGCCATTCCACGTATATCCTCCCACAAGCCTGAGTGCATGAAGTCTGATGCCACCTGAACAGCGGGCGGTTCCCTGAGGCAACTGGCATACGTGTACGCAGAAGACCTGCAGATTAGCCAAAGCATGAGTGGAGCCAGTAGACTGATATGCCACGCCAAGCCTCGGCTAGCCGGGGCGTCCTTCATCTTGTTCGTAGCACTAGCGCAGTGAAGATCGCCATCGGTGCCGCGATGCATAAGCAGAGGCTTTGTGTCCATGGCCAGAAAGAGGAGCTCAGAAGGCAGCACCCCAAACCAGACCCAAAACCCCGAAGGCCAAAGAGCCCCACAAGACAGCCCAAGAGGCGCACCAAACAACCCCGAGACCAGAACAGAACCCGGGGCCAAACCAAGCTTGTCGCTGTGAGCCTTGTACATACATACATACATACGTACATACATACATACATACATACTTACATACATACATACATACATACAGACGTAGGTATGTATGTATGTCTGTATGTATGTAGGTATGTGGGTATATGTATGTATATGTATGTGTATATGTATATGTATATGTATATGTATATGTATATGGATATGTATATGTATATGGATATGGATATGGATATGGATATGTATATATATGTGCGTATATATATATATGTATATGTNNTATATGTGTATGTGTATGTATATGTGAATGTATATGTATATAAAGATATGTATGTCTGTGTGTATGTATGTATGTGTATATATATATATATGTATTTTCATGTTGGTCATTGACAATAACAATCGGACCGTCCATGTCACCATCGTCATCGTCCCTATATCACCAGCACCAACCCCCCTACCACCGTCATCCTCACCTCCTCCACCACCAGTGCCTCCACAACCAACACCAACACCAGCATCACCACGACAACTGTTCTGGTCCTCATCATTGAACTGATTGTCCCGGTAGACAACTCTCAGTCTCAGTCTTAAGCTACCTCGCTCCTTGTAACGACCCACAAGATGCAAAGACACCTGCGGCACCTACACTCCAAACGGGCCTCACACAAAACCCCAAACCTCGCCAGGGCTTATAATATACTATGCTATGATATAATGTACGGTACTATAGTTAGTGCGGTACAGCATAGTTTAGGAATTGGGGAGAATTGGAGAGAACCGGGAGCTCGGGTGACAGGTCAGATCGATATCCAGCGCACGCAAGATAGACTTCCAAGGTCGACCGGCCCTTTGTGCCAATGCCCCAGCTGCATCCGACAAGACTGGCCATGTGAAACATCGGAAATTGAAGGTTTAGGGTTCAACCTCGAAGGCTCAAGGTACGGCTGCAAGCCTCTGAACCTGCCAGAGTTGAACTTACACGACCTTGTGCCACACTGGACAACCACGCCCTAGCCCCTCAGCCTTTCTACACCCTGAACTCCTTAAACCCATCGAGTCATCGACGCACCGCAAGAGCACGTCAAACACTCTGGGAGGGGTCTAGTATAAGGGCCGGGATAAGTAGGATACAGCGTGAGGGAAAACACTATGACTGCAATAGGGACGTTAAGGGAAAAGTCGCAATTATTTACTACTTAAATTAAAGCATCAAGCTCAGGATGTCCGGAGGATCTAAAGCTTGCTGGGGCGAGAACTCATCATCTGCCATGGCCAGCAAGGATGTCGATTAGATGCCCAAGCTTGCACGAACTCAGGGGGTGGAGCTATGCACTACGACAATGAAGCCCGAAGCATGAAGTTATAATCCCAGCCCGTGACAGTTGGTTCAAACCCGAAAGGCTAGATGGCTCAAGCTAACATTGTCAACTTTGCCATCAGTCCAGGTGTAGACCCGGCCGAAGGGTTGAGGACCCGGGTCACGCGAGGTTCACGGCCGTGTCGGTCGGGGGATGGAGCCACGATTAAACGATGAGATCGAAGCTGTGATCCAATGCAAGTTGCAAATGACGGCGTACATGTCGTGGCCATCTGCATTCAGCGGCACAGCACATTCTTGCTCAACAACTTTGCAATCTCGCGAAAGCCAAGCGAAAACTTACTTGCACCCCGCGCGAAAGTACGAAAGCACAAACTGCAATGGTTGATCGGACAATTTCGTGGCCGTCCCGCCCCCCCCCCCCCCACCCTGCCCAAAACCGAAAGCAGCAGCAAACATCATCAAACGAGTACCCTGTGCTCCCTTGCTGTTTGTCAAGCTGTTCCCTGCGAGCAATTTGCTCATTGATTGCGGAGAGGTGAAAATGTGCAGTTGGATTATGTTCTAGTCATTGCCACGCTATGCCACACTCACAAATGCCTCTTCTCCTGCTGCACATCAAGAAAACCTGAGGCAGAGTTGCAACACAAACAGTCCACGGATTTGAACACCTGGGCACACGGTCTCATGTTCATAGGAACATCGGTACCCATGCAACACATGTTGCAGGAAATGACACTCAAAACCTCAAGTTCTGCATGCGGTGGCTAAAACCCGTGTGCTACACTGGGAAAGCAGCAGCGGGCCTTGCGTAGCGCTTGCTATCTGAGTCTGAGCGTTATCCCCATGTGAAGTATGTCCATACTGTCCATCCAAACTACCAAGCATTCCGAACTACAGGCTAGATGACTGCTGTACCAAACCGCTCATACCCAGAAACTAAGGCCTGGAGATTATCCAGGCCTCTGAACCGAAAGACACTAAGCATCAATGTCCAACGGTCAAATGAAAACCACAACCGCCTCAAACCGCAACAGTCACGAAGAAATCCTGCGGCTTACTCCCCAAACCGTCCGTATAATGTAACTATATAAATAAGACAAATATAGTATAAAATATCCAATATACATTGTGAAAATAGCGTAACGTAAAGCAAGATAAGTAAGACAGGACAGTAGAAGAGAAGATAAGACATGATGATAATGTAGGGTGAGATAAGATAAGATATAGGTAAGATGATCTAACAGAATACAAGACAAGATAACATAGCATAACTGAAAATATTCTAACATCATATAACAGAATAAGGTAGATTGTATTGTAAGATACAGCCATATGGTCATGTAATGTCGAAATAAAACATCATATTATATAGACTTGATGATATACTATAACTAATGTACCATGGTAAATAACCACAGAAGAACAATATAATTTGATGTGTAATATATTATTTCATTTTGCTATATTGTATTAAGATAATATAACATGATATAGTACAAAATAGTTTATAAAACATCAACAAGGCAAACTGAGGGTTCCCTGCTCGGAGTATGGGTGCATTCGTTCCTCGGCTGGTGCTTGGTTTATGGCAAGTTCTGGATTTACGGGCTCCCATGCACTAGGTATCCACTGCAAGAAAGAACGAGCTTAACGAAAGCAATGAGCTGAAGCCGCATCAGCACTCTT